AAGCGAAATCAATCGCTGAAACTCGAGCGACTCTAGCAGAAATAGCTCAAGCCACGAACTATGAACGCAGCCCACGACATCCAAGTTTACCACGAAAAAGCCAACCTTCTCATCTTCACAACAGATGATTGCTCTCATTAGAACGAGGAGATCACCTAACCGACGGCCAGGGCCCTGCAAAAGCAATTGACTGCATTACTTCTATGAGAGCTAAGCATCAAAAAGGTTACCTTCCCACACCATCCTCTTCGCAGCTTCAGCACTTCCGTCATTTTTTCTTTTGTTTCCTCGTCAGTCTGTCCTCTTATTGACGAAACCGGTACTAGAGGCTCACGTACTGTAACGGGTAAATAAAAAATACCATTTGGAGCTATCAACTGCAATTTTCATCAACTATGCTCAGCAATGTGGTGGATGTGATTTAGTGACGAGTTGTCCGCTTACAATTCAGAGGTTTAATCCCAGATCGCCTCTACTTCAAGCTAACCACCCTTCCAAAACGGAAAATCGGTACCAGATTGGTGTGGGAGGCTAAAAACACCGATGTGTACATTGACTGAACCCTGCAAGTCATTCTGCAGAAAATATCGCATTCAACATGCCACTGCGATTCAGAATGGAAGTAGAATGCGTCCTCATCCCGATCCTAGGCATAACTTCCGTCAAGACGAAGATGCTTGTCGGAAAATGCATGTAGCTGTTACGTGACCGTGTGACGGGCGTGGATAGGAGCGCAGTCAGAGCAGCCTTTCCCACCAATTGAAGGGGACTCAGGATGATATAATTGGTGGAAAAGGCCGTCCCGGCTCCCAACATGCCCGGTAGTTTACGTGGGTCACGGCTGTAGATCTGAGGACACGGTTAACAAAACCTGAAGGAGCATGACAAATGAAAATTCACCTGAAAGCGCAGCAATGAGCAATATTGCGTAGGGCATAAGATCGTGCTGATTTGCCATTGCTATGACTTTCGCGTAAGCAGGTGCCAACGGAAACACTGACAGCGTCCTGCCTAATGAAGTTATTCGCGCCTCCGTCTGCAAACAAGAATAAAAATCTGGACGCATACGCGCTGAACGAACAAAGCAGTTCAATGTGCCATATACACGAAATTCAAGGCACATATTCTCGAGAAAGGTACCTTCCCATCTTTTGTGGTTTTCGCCAAAGCACCCAGTTTGACTAGTCTCTCTTCGGCCGCCTCCAATGTGTCGGAATTCGGTGGTGACGGAAAGGGAAAATTGATAACCTAAACGCAGAGAATAAACGAGAAAACTCAATCCAATGCAACTCTTGGCAGACATCAGCAGAAAAGAAGGAAAAATTGTGACTAAATAGGTCAAAACGTCACCTTAACAATGTTCATCGATTTCAGGTGCAATACAAGTTGATCCGCCGGCTTGTCGAGGATCTCCGGACGAGAGAATTTCTCGAAAGTTTGGAAAACTGCCGAAGAATAGAGCCTTAAATTGCGAACTGATTACAGGTGATGGCTGGAATTAACACTAAGTTAGCAGTTTAGGAGAACCGGCTGGATCCAGTACCCTAAAGCGGGCGCCGAATCCACATAACATCGCTGTTTTCGCCTAGGCAGCTGCCTGGCGTTACAGGTTGGAAAGGGCCTTTAGCGTAACTCTCGCTTCCTGGCCTCTCCCCCGGAGCACCTTTACGGCATGTCCAATGGTATACGTTTACGGGACCGACATGTTTAATTTCACGCGCGCAGTTTTGGAGTACTGGGCATTCCTGCTGTCCCCTGAAACTTAATAATATTCATCGCATTAACAGACTAGAACACTAGTACTTCTTGACTTGTTCAACCAGAACGGGCTAATTCTAGAACTAAACCAAATCCTCAGCGCGTTCGGCTTCGGTGTGGGGGCATTTCGCAGGTTCTCCATCGATCGCTGCCAATGGCTTCTACGTATACCCGTAAATTCCTGTGGAGCTATGCAATAGCATGAGCTTCGCTTACACCTGGCAAAAGGCTACAGGTTTTAAATGAGACATGCAGTTTGACAGGAACTAGTGAAGGAAAGGAGAGCCGAAGTGCAAAATGCCCATTCTTTCCTTGAGCCAATCTCCAGTTTATAATGCTTAACCTTAGGTCTTCTTACCTGTAGGCGTGACCGGCAGCAATACGACCTGATCTTCCAGCTCGCTGATCAGCAGATGCGCTTGACTTATACGATTCAACGGACAAATTTTGAGACACCCGTCACTGAGTCATACAGCCTAAATTGTTCGGTAGGATCAGCATCCATAACAGATTATATTCAATAATGAACTTCTAGATTCTACTAACTAGGGCACGTCGTACGTTAGAGACTTCAGGAGAAAGGGTGGGGGGGATACTTTGGTCGCTGCAGCAATGAGGGGTCGTAATTGCTTTTGAGTAGGGTGTTTTTGGCTGTTGACTTATCTCATTTCGTTCACGTGAGCTGGTACCCAAGGCTCGACGACCAGTATTTTGAGGAACAGGGAGGGATTCTTGGAAAAACTCCAGAACAGCGGTTGGAAAAAGGGGATATGAGGAAAATGGTTATAGATGGGGGATGAGGGTCGTACTGAAGGAGGGAATTCTGACATGGAATTTATTTTGCGAAAATTTTAATCAACGGCAGGACGCGTCCTGTTGAACTATGCCACATACAGATAATATTCTCTAGGAAAAAAACCATATGGATGATCTTTTACTACCCGAAACTTTTAGAAAAATTCACTGTTTAGCAAAAGGTCCCTGCCTTTTGCTCAACTGGAAGTGAGCTTTGATGCTTTTCTCCTAATAAATTCCGAGAACATGTACGTATCAGCAAATTTCTTACCTACGTTTCTCGAACCCGCAGTCCACCACATATTTCACGCCAGGAATAGTTAACGATGTTTCAGCAACATTCGTTGCGATAACACACATTCCTAAAAGTGATATCGAAATACGAGTACAACCTGCTAAGGTACGGAATGCACGTTGCAGTGACATGGCGAAAGCGGCGTTGCAAGCTGTGACACGCGCGCGGCATTCACACCAGGATCTAATTGGATCCGATTCAGGAGTGCTGTACAACTTGAAATTGACTGTTACTTTTGCGTCACTGCACACGGACCCTCCGTACCACACCAGTAAGTCTCAATCAGAACCTCGTGCCTTCAGGAGGTAGTTCAAATACCCGACGTTGTTTTTCTGAGGATAACAAGGAGTACAACGGTAAACAATAAAGAGGTTTACAAGACGCAGGAGGAGCCGGCATCGGAAGGTCCTAGAACATAAAGTGGACAGGAAAATGACACTATAAAACCGATTCATATTTAGTGTTGACAAACTGACAGTCAAAGAGTCATAGGAACGAATGAAAAATTCTAATCCTGAAGAAGAACGAAGAACTGAAAACATACCATCGAATCTTCTTGACCGCCTTCCTCCTCCTCGTAATCGTCCCATAACGTATCACAAGCACCAGTTTCGTGCAGATCTTCACCATCAAAAGCTTGAGTGCGCTTGAATTGAATCGCCAACATTACTTACCTTCCATTTATAACAAAAGTTTGCACAGCGAATATTAAGAACGGGAAAGTAATGAGGTGGATCCTTACATCTTCACTAAAGTCCTCGAGTTTCAAATTCTGTGCCTCTTCCAGTTGTTTCTTTTTCCACTTCTTACTACCTCGTACATATATGTGGCCGTCTTTGCTAGAGTCATACTGTATCTTAAAAATCGTCAAAAATATTCGATTTTCCTGGGGGGGGGGCACACCTGAATGCTACCTTCGTTTTACAATGGTTCGTCGCTGCTGTGAAATGTAAAGGGCGTGTACCGGCGGGAGGGGTTCGGCACAGTGGCGTGCAAGCCGTTTTGTCCACAGCAGGTTAAGTGGACCAGACAATTGTGGAGAAAACGAGTTCCTACGAACAAATAGTGATGTACAGGTTTCGACGTTTGCTGTACAGGCAGGTATCAGATCCCGGAGCGGCGCGCGCCTAACTCGTTCTGCTGACACACGCGCCTTCGTCCCCAGCGAACAAGTCTGTACACTGCTCCGTGCACCGACATTAAACACACGACACCGACAACAAATAAATAATTAGTGGAGCGCAGAGCAAAGCAATAAATAGTAATAAATATATCCCGATGAATAGATAAATGAAATAAACAATCTGCGTTCGTTTGTAAAAACTTCGCCGCTAACATAGCTAGTGGGCGGGGGGGAGGGAACGCAGCTGCAAAGCGACGATTCTGGTTGTCTATGTAGTGGCTAAATGGAGACAGGGTACAGAATCGGGATGGGAAGAGTGGCAGTGACAATGCGACCCCTCCTAAAACTTCGCCCTCTGGTATCTCCGTCTTCATCATCCCTCCCACCATACCAAAATCTTTCAACTCCGACCTATTTTCCAAAAAGAAATGCCTTTTCCCATCGATCCCGCACCCTAAGTGGAAAGAACGCGCTACCGCATTATGTCCTCACCTCTGAACTATGTTAGTGCCAAAACTTCTTCACTATTAGTTGCCATGGCAATAATGAAAACTCTACAACGTACCGTATATCTATCGATGAGCTTCTTCACTAGATGCCGAACTTCTTGTTGACCGCTGACAAACACTAGGATCCCACCCTCAGGGAGAGCTTCATGTATTCGGCACACCTTCAAGCAATGAATGAGTTCAAGCAGAGGAGATACGATGCATCGGAATCAGGAAAACGGAAATCAAAACTGAACGACAATTGCTGTTCAAACAAGAATACGAATAGAAAAAGAATTGGGAGGATGCCATAGTTTCACGTCAAATGGCAAAATGTAAAATTCTAATGTTCCGGATGCGAGCCCCCTTCCAGGCTGGGCAAGAGAAGGGACGGGGGGGGGATAACGAGAATCTGGGGGTTAGCCTTAGACATAACCCCGCTTGCAATGCCCTTCCAACTCTGCCACGCATGAACTCGGAAAGCAATGGGCAGAAAAACGCACTAAAGATGAGGCAGAGCAACAGCGCTGAAGACGCCAGCACGCGCAGAATGTGCCCCCAGCCAACAGCTGCATTGCGACAAACGGAAAGTCAATCGTCTCCAAATGAAAAGAACAGAGAAGTGGAAGTGAGAACACTTTTGAGGACAAAACACAACAAATAATTTGAAGAAAAAAAGCACCTTTCTAAAAGTAGCCATCATATAATCGTCCGGTGTACGTTTCTCGAAGTGAACTGTTACAGGAAACTGTCGTGATTCCACATTAACCACTTTGGGCTCCAATACAGGAAACAGTCT